TGTTAATACCGGTGATTGGCATTGGGAATATCTCAATAGGGTCGTGCCTGAAAGGGTAATACAACATATTAGATCCTTCATTCCCCCTACTGTAGACGGCGGAGCGGATGCGCTGACTTGGAGAAAGAAATTACATTCAAGGGGTTATGTCAAGCATGCTTATCATTCGATTATGCACTTTGAGACACTACCCCACAACCCAATCTGGAATACAATCTGGAATTGGCATGGCCCATACCATTTGAGACAATTCACTTGGCTTATCCTTCATAGGCGAATCCTTACTAAAGACACTACTGCTTCTTGGAGAGGGTCTCCCTTCTGTCATGTCTGTGAGGACAATACTGAGAATGTTATCCATGTTTTAAGGGATTGCAAGAAGGAAATGCAGATCTGGAATAACTGGTTCCCTAGAGGAATACCACATCAGTTTCTTAGGTCAAGTCAGGAGGAGTGGATTAATGGTTGTATAACCAAGGGTTGGTCTCACTCCCAGCATTGTGAGTGGCTGGATATTTTTATAGTGACCATTTGGCACCTCTGGTCTTGGAGGAATAAGGAAGTGCATGATCCTCTCTTCATCAGACCCACCAAACCGAGGATGTGTATTCTAAACTATATAGGTGAGATCAAGCAAGCCTTTAACAACCAGGTATTAGCCCCCAATGTTTACGTGGATATGGCTCTTGTTCGATGGACACCTCCCCCTCATTCCTACTGGAAGGTCAATGTTGATGCTGCCATTAATAGAAACATTAACTTGGCTGCGTGTGGAGGACTTGTGAGGGACGAGTCAGGGATGTGGATTTCTGGTTTTGTATATAAAATTGGAAACTGTGATCCTCTTACTGCTGAGCTTTGGGCAATTCTCAAAGGGGTCCAGTTCGCTTGGGACCTGAGTGTTCAGAATCTTATTGTCGAGAGTGACTCTCTTCAGGCAATCCAAATGATCAATGAACAAGGGGGAGATAACTCTTATCAGTCCCATGCGAATGACATTAAAAGATGGGCGAACAAAGAGTGGAATATTAGTTTTGCTCGTGTCCACAGGGAAGGAAATTTTTGCGCCGATTGGATTGCCAAATCGACTTTTCACTACGATGTCTTATTTGCTGTATTGATCTCTGCCCCTCTCGGGCTTGGCCCCCTCTTGGAGGCAGATGTGAGCTCTGAGTAGTTTGTTTTTGGGTTCTGGGCGATAGCCCCTTCTTAATATTAAAAAAAAAGCTTTAAATACCAATCAAAACTCGTTTGTGGTCCAGATTAGATCGGTTTTTGAAAGTAAAAATTATTTAATCCAATTTCTTTGCTTTATTCATATAATCATCTATTCGGTTTGTATTTTTTTCAAATCTGATCCGATCCGATCCAATCCAATCCTATTTTTTTTGGTTTGGATTGGATCAATTTTTGGTTTTTTTAAAAATATAAAATTTGTTCGATGATTATTGTATAAATTACATATCTTTTGTATATATTGACTTTGTAAAGTTTTTTTTTTAGAAATACAGAAGTATCAATAAACAATAATCTATTTTTTTTAGCAAAGAGATACGTAGCTCTAGACAAATGAAATTTTACTGATGGGGTGTGGCTAGATTTTTTCTTGGGTTTATCTTATGGGTTAATGGGTCTTGGGTTTAGAATTTTTTGGGACTATGATTGGGCACAGGTCCAAGTAAGTAGAAAAGAATTAATATATTGGATCAGTTTGGTTTGGATTGGATCGATTTTACCAATCAAACCGAAAACCAATCCAATCCAATTAAAATTTGCAGGTTTTTTTTCGGTTTTCGATTTTTTGATTTTCAATTAATTCGGTTATTGATTTTTCGGTTCGATCACTGCGATTTGAATCGATTTGGATCAGTTGATGAACATCTCTATTACTAGTTAAAGCTAGGCACTTGACACTTCGTTAGACAAGCACCAAGCTAGAGACAATATTTAATATTGTGACAATAGCCCAGGCCTGGTATGGCCACGAGAGCCAAATTCGTGTGCACATAACTATTACCCTGAATCCACATTCAAAGGTAATCGGTAAAACTCTTAGCCACTAGGGCATTGATAAACCCTTGGTTCATCAGGTTTTTAAGCATGAATTAATATCAATTTGTGTGATTAAATGGATGAAAAAGAGGTTAATATCCTGGAAATCTCTCAAATACAAGTTCTGAAGCTTATGTTGAAAATTTACATTGTTCTTGTAGGGAAATGAAGCTCAATGAAGCAAAAGAGAGAAGGAAGAAAATTCTGAAGAATGGAAAAATTCTAAGTGTTGGGCGCTAAAACGCCCAAAGTCAAGAGTTTTAGCGCCATGCTGTTCAAAAAGATGCTGGTGCTGAGCGCTAAAACGCCCAAATCGAACATTTTAGCGCCCTGCTATGCGAAAAGGTTCTGGTGCTGAGCGCTAAAACGCCTAAATCGAATGTTTTAGCGCCCAAGACAGTTAAAAGTGGTTGCTCATCCGTCCAAGTTGAGCGCTAAAACATCCAAGAATGAGCGTTTTAGCGCCTATATCAGTTTCTGGTTGTTATTCAGTTGTATTTTGTAACTCTATATAAGGCAAGGGCCTTCACATTTAGACACATCCTATTCTCTCTCTCTCTCTCAGATTCTAATCTGACCTGGCCCATCACACTAGGAGAGGGGAGATCAAATCAGATCTTTCATAGATCTGATCTGACTCCTCATTCTCTCTGAACTTCCAAATTCCTTAGGATTAGTTTATGTAATAGTTAGTACTTCTTTATGTAATTGTAATTGAAGATTGAAGACTCAACTATCATGACAATAGAGTTTGATCTTTCTTCTTCCTTTGTTTGTATTTCAATTATGTCTGAGTAGAGTCCTTTGTAGTCTGATTCAATGGAACTCAAGTTTGAATTTATGAATAGTTAATTAGATGTCTTGTTTATCTATTATGTGATTTGTATTAAGTTGTCTTGATTAATTCTTCATGTTGATAAATAGTGTAGAACATACATGTTTACATTGTTTCTCTATTTTTGACAACTTCATCATTAGTGTTCTAGTAGTCAAGACATTGATGCTAGGAGTCTGATGTGGTCTTAAGACTTTAGTGATTAATGCATGTATTAAGAAAGGAATCACCAAGACATTGGGGTTTCTGATTAATGTATCTATCAGGGTAGTAAGACATTACATCTTGAGATGATAAGAAAAAAGTTGATCAACATCACATAGTAGGTAATTCATTATGGAAATTGGTTCATCCATAAATTCATGCTTGAGGGAAATTGACATCTGAATACTTGTTTACATTATAATTCACATTTTATTTTCTTATTAAGTTTTAATACAATTCAACTTAGTTTCTGGTGACAAGAAATTAATGCAATCAATGATCTTTTGGTTGATTCAACTTAAGTATATATGGTTAGTCAGTGCTTGAACACAAATCCTCATGGGAACGATCTTTACTCATCATTTTATTACTTGTTTGACTAGTGCACTTGCTAAATTTCGACAACAGGCATCTAGAATATAAGATCGATAAACATAATCTAAGGGGATAAACCTTCTGTTAAAGTTTACCACCAACCCTAACACCTCCTATAAGGACTTTAATTCATCAACTATATGTACAGGGCAACCCCCAAATTAGTAAAACCAAGATTCCACTGCCTACTAATTAACTTCTTAAGTCTTTTCAGGCACCACTCTTATAACTTTCGATTCAAGACCAACAACGCCTCCCCTTGGTAGATATTTACAGGTATAACTTTCCCTGAATCTTGGTAGAAACTTTCACTATATGACATTTTCCCTCCTTTTCAATTAATGAAATAAAGAACTTCGTGTTTTAAACATGTAATTTAAAACTGTGATTATACATTTGATTTCCTTTTTCCACTTTGTCATACACGGGTTGTGATTAAATTCCTTTCTATACTCCCGTAACTTTTACTTTCAAATATATGCTACATCATAGGATTGTTTGGCATTCCCCTCCTTCGAGTTTGCGCCAGATTGTTTTAAAAAATTACATTTAATGTATCATTTATTATTAAATAAATTATACATCTATTTAATAAATTTATTCAAATACCAGTTTTACTGGTTGTAGTTCCTTGATGACATAAATTAAGCCAAAGGGTGGAATTTACAGTATTGTTGTGAAGTCAAATTGATGTTGTCTGCATAAATTGTTTTGAAATAGTAGCTTTTATATAAAGAATAATATCTATTACATGTTTTAATTATTTAAAGAAAATAAAGATGAGAGTGAGAGTAGGGGGAAGGGGTAGGTGATTTATATAAAGGCCGGGAGAGGAGAGGGATAAGTGAGTGTCACCTCTTAAAGAAACACCACCCAACTTTAAATCTAAACCAAATTTTATTAAGTAAAATCCAATATTTTTACTGTTTTATTTTAATTTTAATGTTCACAAATTTTATATAAACCAAATTTTATTAAGTAAAATCCAATATTTTTGTTGTTTCATTTTAATTTTAATGTTCACAAATTTTATATAAACCAAATTTTATTATTTTATAATTAAATTATGAAATAATAATGACTAACATAATTAGTATTGTTGGTCCTTTCGTATGTCAATTGCATTGTTCCCTCGCACACCAGCACCTTGAGCAATGAATAGGGGGCTAGATTTATAAATTTGTTCTGCCCGTGTTGTGTCTTCTTAAATTTAATTATATTTTTTAAATAGTTTGCAGAGGAATTTCCTTCTGAAGTTTTGATGTGCTGAGTTGCTTTACTCTTCCCTCGCACACCAGCACCTTGAGCACCTCTGTATTAATTGCTTCCAATGTAATGTTTATAACAGCCTAATCTAAATAAGTTTGTATCAATTGGAAGGCCAGCGTGAAGGAAGCTTGTGCAACTCTTCAAAAGCTTTTATCAGGTACAACCTTACTTCGCTCTGTTTAATTCTTCACCTTTTTTATATTATATCTATAATTTTACAGTGCAAGCATTTTTAAGATGTACAAGCAATTAATCTTATCTAACTATGATTGATAAGAGTTGGATTGAGAAACCAATTAACTTGAAAGAGTTCTTAGATGAGGTAGTCCAATTTTTGGACTTTGCCTTTTCAAATGCATCTATAAATGGACAGATATTGTGTCCTTGCATTATATGTGGATTTCATCGTATGCTTGATAGAAATGAAATGTTTAGTCATCTACTTCAACAAGGATTTCCAAGGAAGTACACTTCTTGGTATATGCATGGGGAAAAATATATTAAATCTGTATCCCAAGTACAAGAAGAACCAGTTAGACAATATCCAATGCAAGATATGTTAAATGATGTTTTTGGTGTCTTTGTTGATAATGGAATTCAAGATTCTAGTCCCTCAAACATACCTAACAGTGACCACTCTAGGGGTACAGAAGATGCAAGTAAAGAAGAGCTAGAAAAAATTAAAGAGTTGCTACGGGATGAGAATCAAGATCTCTATAATGGATGCACAAAATATAACAAATTGTCATTCATTGTTAGATTGTATCATGTAAAAGTCTTATGTGGTGCACCTGATAAGACATTTTCAATGATTATTGAGCTATTATATGATGCTTATCCGTATGCTAAACTACCAACATCTTTTTATGAGGGAAAAAAGATGATCAAGAGGTTAGATCTAAGTTATGATAAGATTCATACATGTCCAAAAAATTACATGTTGTATTAGGGATCATTAGAGGATGACAAGAAAGATATATGTAAGAAGTGCAATACATCTAGGTTGAAAACAAATGAAAACGGTGGTGGTGAAAATGATTTGACGGAAGGAAAAAAGAAAAAGAAACCTCAACCAGAAAACGTATTGCGATATTTTCCTCTTATACCTAGGTTGAAAAGGCTATACATGTGCTTTAAAACTGCAGAGTTGTTGAAATGGCATGCTATGGGGGCAAACCCAGATGGGTTGTTAAGGCATCCAAGAGGTAGTAAAGCTTGGAAAGAGTTTGATTTATTGTATCCAGACTTTGCTTCAGAGAATGGGGATTTATTTTATCTTGTTGAGATGCTGTTTGTTTGGTGAGCATGGGGATTGTCCATGACACATAGACTGGTTTATGTCTTAGTTTTTTTTTGGAGTTGTAATAATGTATCAGGATATTGTCCGGACTACGTGATGTAGATTGTGATTTAGATACTCACTTTATATATATGTTGAGGTATTTCAGTATATGTCTTATTGCAATTTACATACAGGCGATATTTTATGAAATTGATTAAGTAATCAAGTTGGTAATTGATAATGACGTCATAATTGAAAAGAAAAAGAATATTCCGCATTTTTAATTAAGCGTAGCTTAATACGATGTAATGATAACACTACTGGATATATACGGGGTGTTACAGTTCACCTCCTTAACATTGGAAGAAAAAAAGTATCTTTCGGGATCTACCTTATTGGGAGCATAATATCATCCGTCATTGCCTTGATATGATGCATATAGAGAAAAATGTTTGTGACAATGTATTGTTTATAGTTCTTGATGACAAAAATAGAACAAAAGATAATTTTCAAGCTCGTAGAGACTTACAGGAGATGGGAATTAGAGAAAAGCTTCATCCATATCCTAATTCCTCTAAGTTTCCTCAATCATGCTTCAAAATGAAAAATCTAGAGAAAAATATCTTCCTAAAAGTTCTTAAAAATGTGATTTTTCCAGATAGTTATTCATCAAACATTTCAAGATGCATTGATATTAAAGAGTCATGATTCACACATTCTGATGGAACATCTTTTGCCAATTTCCTTTAGAAGAACTCTCCTGAAAGAAGTATAACACTACCAGATATATACGGCGACGACGAGGGCTACTGCAGTGCAGGCAGTGCCACTTCAGATGGTCCCCCTTCCACCTACTTCGGCACCGGCAGTGCCACCATCTTCTGGGAGAGTTTATACTCTGGATCGTCAGCAGTCGGATTGAGCTCTGAACCTTGTTAGAGGTATTGTTACCATTGGTGGTTCACCTATTGATGTCTTGTTTGACTCTGGGGCTACGCATTCTTTTGTTGCAACCCCGATTGCTGTGAGGCTTGAGTTGCCTATTGATGTGCTTTCTCCACCGTTGCAGGTTACCACCGCCACCGGAGAAAAGTGTGATGCGACCACTGTTCATCGCGATGTAGCATTTCAGTGGGATGACCGTGAGTTCTCGGTAGATCTGATAGGATTGGCGATGGCCAACTTGGAGGTTATACTGGGCATGGATTGGTTGTCCAGAAATTGTGTGTTGATTGACTGTTGTGCCAAGCGTGTGGTGTTGTCTCTGTGTGATTCCACAGTTAGTTCCTCGTCGTACATTTCGTTGCTGCAGGCTAGGAGAGCCTTGAGAGCAGGGGCATATGGATATGTCATGTTGGGAGGTTTGGTGAGTGGAACACAGGAGGACATCACTGGCATTCCTGTGGTGAGGGAATTCCTCGAGGTGTTTCCTGAGGAGATTCCTGAGTTTCCGCCACAGAGGGAGATAGAGTTCTCCATTGATCTGTTTCCTGGTGTGGGGCCTATTTCATTAGCTCCATACCGAATGTCGCCACCGGAGCTGGCAGAGCAGAAGAAGCATATTGAGGATCTTTCAGCGAAAGACTTCATTAGACCGAGTGTATCTCCTTGGGGAGCACCGGTCATTTTTGTGAAGAAGAAGGACGGGACAATGCAATTGTGCACCGACTACAGGCAGCTGAACAAGGTGACAATCAAGAACAGGTATCCCCTTCCTTGGATTGATGATCTGTTGGATCAGCTCAGGGTGCTTGCGTGTATTCCAAGATTGATCTCCGGTCCGGATACCATCAGATTCAGGTGAAGCCGGAGGATGTCACGAAGACCGCATTTCGTTCGAGATACGGTCATTTTGAGTATTTGGTGATTCCGTTTGGACTCACCAATGCACCTGCTGTGTTCATGGATTACATGAACAAGATTTTCTAGCCGTACCTGGATCAGTTTGTGATCATCTTCATTGACAATATTTTGATTTACTCCAAGACGGAGAAGGAGCATGTGGAGCATCTGAGGATTGTTCTGCAAGTGCTGAACGAGAAGAAGTTGTATGCGAAGCCTTCAAAGTGTGAGTTTTGGCTCAAGTCTGTGAAGTTCCTTGGGCATGTTATTTCTGCTGAAGGAGTTGTAGTGGATCCGAACAAGATCGAGGCCGTACTGGATTGGGATAGACCCAAGACAGTTACAGAAGTGAGGAGCTTTCTGGGTTTGGCAGGTTACTACCGGAGGTTCATCAAGGGATTCTCCACCATGGTTTTGCCATTGTCTCGCCTTACCCGGAAGGAGACTCCATTTGTGTGGATTCACGAGTGTGAGGTCTGTTTTCAGGAGTTGAAGGAGAGACTGACTACTGCACCTGTGTTGGTCCTTTCTGATCCTGCGCTTGAGATTGAGCTTTACACCGACGCATCCGGGAAGGGGCTAGGTTGTGTGCTGATGCAGTTGGGAGGAGTGATTGCCTATGCTTCAAGGCAGTTGAAACCTCATGAGGAGAACTACCCTACTCATGACTTGGAGTTGGCTGCTATTGTGTTTGCTTTCAAGATTTGGAGGCATTATCTTTTTGGTTTGAAGTTTGTGGTGTTCAGTGACCACAAGAGTTTGAAGTACCTGTTCGACCAGAAGGAGTGGAACATGAGGTAGAGGAGATGGATGGAGTTCATAAAGGAATACGACTTCGAGCTGAGGTATCATCCTGGCAAGGCTAATGTGGTAGCTGATGCTTTGTGTAACACTCCGTATATATCCGGTAATGTTACCATACTATCGTATTAAGCAGCGCTTATTTAAAAATGCGGAATATCTTTTTCTTTCCAATTATGATGTCATTATCATTACCAACTTGTTTATTAATCAATTAATAAAACATCGCCTGTATGTAATTGCAATAAAACAGCTAACTGAAATACCTCATAACATAGATAAAATAAGTGTCTCTAGAAATCGCGGGACTACCACAAGTAGAACGGACCAACTAGCAGATTATACAACTCCAATCTAAAAGTACTAACACAAAGTGTCATGGACAATCCCCATGCTCACTCAAATAAGGAAACAAACCCAACATCAGTCTCAACAACAACATAATCATAAATAGCGGAAAACATAAACAACATCCAAATCCAGTCATGGCAGCAATACAGCGTAAATATCATAATCAGCTAAGCTCTGACCTCCTGCCGCCAAAGGCATCAGTCACCATACTACCTGAACCTGAAATAAGCATTCCCCAAACGTGGGGTGAGATCTCTAAACAAGAAATCTCAGTAAGACAAGGGGTCCTCAAGGATCTTCCGCCCCAAGCTCACTTACATGTGCAATATAAGTTTAAAAGAAGTTCATCAATATCATTTCTAAAATAGTGCAATGCAGCAGATAATCATGTCATGTGTGTCAATTCTATTCTACTGGCCAGAGAAATGCAGGAATAAGTATACGTCTATTACCCACAATTAGTGCAAGACGCCACTTGCATTCACCCCGGATCACCATATCGTATGACGCCACATACTCAGGCTTACCGTCAAGATGAAACAACACATGCATATTAAAAGCCATTACACATAAAGCTCAACAGCATTTCAAATATTCAAAGCATGTAACACAGCATGCATATAACCACACCCCATAGGACATAGTGGAACCACAACATGGCTAAACCGAGGACACGAAAGCTTACCTTGCAAGATAACACCCAAAGCGAAGAGTCCACAGCTCAAAGTCCAAACACAGCAGATTCACAATCTGTTATGGACCAACAATATATCAATAATAATGCACCACAAGCATATAACTTAAAGACGACGTCTTTCCTTTACGTTTTACGTCTTAAGGCTCCATACCAAGCCATAAGCCCTTAATCACTTGATTCTGACTTAGTTCATGAATTACAGAAGTTCAAGTTCATCAATCTAGGGTCCACAAACCCCCAATAGCCTACTGTACACACAGCAACGCTACTGTTCTACGAAATCCCTGAATATCCGAATATTCCTCAGGTGCATATCCGGATATCAGTATCCGGATATCCAGATGGGATATCCGGATATCATATCCAGATATCCAATATCCGGATATTTCATGACAGAATGCAGAAACTGCATTTCGTGAAGATATCATTCCAAGGTTCTATTTTTAACATTTCCAGAAGCTTAAACACGCATCTTTAGGTCCACTTAGGTTCATAAGACAGTTGGTTACTTGTTTAACTCATTAAACATGCAAAGACACCTCTTTTACTCATCAAAACTCAAGACCAAGGTAAGGTAACTCACCCCAAAGCTCAACCAGCCAACAAAAGGTTCTCTTGGAGCTCACAAGGCAACTCCAAGGTTCTGACTCTTTCAAGAACAAAAATGTAAGTTGAAGGTTGGTCCTTTCTCCACAAAGAACACACCTTGAAGCTTAACAAGCCAACTCCAAGGTTCCCACCACTCAACTCTCCAACTCAGCCCTCAAAGCTGACTTCCAACAGCCTCTCAACTTAGAACAAAAGCTCTCTACACACTCACAAGGCCACTCACACAAGGCCACTCACACAAGGCTCAAGTGTTTGGAGGTGAAGAAACCAAGAAAAAGGTGATTATTTGGCCAAGAAATGGAGAAGAAGGCCTTTGGACACTATTCTGGTCAGCCACCCTCTCCCAAGCCACGTACATGCAGTAGTTATTTAGGGTTTTGTGCCCAAGTGTGCCTATTTATAGTGATTTAACATTTAAACACACAGTATTAACTTTAATTTCTACGCTTAGCATTTTAATCCCAAATTTTGGATTCTTAACCTACTCAATTTTACATGAATTATCATATTTTTCTTATAATTTTCGGAGCACCTTTCCGGTACGCGCTTTTCACAGCCAGTACCAGTTTCTGGCACCAGTTCTCATTATTTGGACTTGAAACTCATTTTACAAGTCCTACATATTATTTTAGTAATTATCATACACTTACTTTAATTTTCCGGGATACTTTTTCGGTACGCATTTATACCGACTAGCAGAACCGGTATCTGCACTTTTCTT